AATAAGAACTTATCCAGTTCGTACCTACTTACTAACCCCGCCCACCTGAGGACAGTCGCTCTGCTCACAGTCCGTTCTATGAGTGGGAAAATATGGGTGACTCCTGACCACAGGCAAGTTAGTCTGGGGGAAAACAAGTGGGAATGTAAGTATCTGAACATTCCTGACAGGTCACTGTGATGGTTCCTCACTGCACCCCTCCACACATGTATAAGTCTCTATCAGAGGCTTGTTGAGTGAATTTCCTCCACAAAGTCACCATCCCCTTCAGTACACCTGTCTTGAACCAGACTGGGTGAAATGCCCTTTAATGGATCCACTGGCTGCCATGCGTCTCTGCTCCCATCCTAACATTTCTAGAAATGCATTTTCTTTTTTGCCTTTTAGTCTATTCTCCACACTAAACTGTAAGCTTCTTTTGATCCCTAAGGCCTAGCAGGGAACTAGTTGTTTGTCCACAAATATTTATGTGGATACCTATACTGTGCCAGGCACTGAGCTAGGTACTAGAATTACAAGGATGACGAAAACAGAAAAAACAGATATTATGGAATTTATAATCAGGTAGGGGAAATCAGTTGTTAAATAAACATACAACTAACTAATTTGTTAAAATGGTATTTAGCCCAGCTGGTGTGGCTCAGTGGTTGGGTGTCGACCCATGCACCTAGAGGATGCTAGTTCAATTCCCAGTCGGGGCACATGCCTATATTGTGGGCCTTATCCCCAGTGAGGGAATGTAGGAGGTGGCCAGTGGATGTTCTCTCTCACTAATGTTCCTCTCTCTCCCTAAAATCAATTTAAAAAATCTTTTTTAAACAGTGTTTAGGGTCATTACATGCAAGCACCAGGTACTAACAGAACACATCCAGGCTTAGTAGGACCTGATCTAGTCTGAGTGAAGACTTCCGGGAGGATGTGACATGTAAGTGGATTCCTGAAGAATAAAAACAAGTTTCCCAAGCAGAGTCTATCTGCGTTGGGAAGGGGGTGGATGCTGAATTGGAACAACACACATAAGGAGCCTAAGACTGGAAATGGTGAGTGTGGTGCAGTTGGTAGAAGAAGGAGTCCTAACCCTGGGCGGTTTGTCTCAGCAGTTGGAGCCTTGGCTAGCAGACCCAAGGAGTCACGGATTCAATTCTGGTCAAGGGCCTGTACCTTAGTTGCAGTTCAGTCCCTGGCCCTGGTCAGGGTCATGCAGGTGGCAGCCAATCAATGTGTCTCTCTCACATCAATGTTTCTCTCTCTCTCCCCCTTCCTTCCTTCCTCTTACTCTATCTTAAATGGGAAAATATCCTCGGGTGAGGATTTTTTAAAAAAGGAGTCCTAACAGCTCCTAACAGCTCTGACATTGGCCAGGTCACATGGCTCCTCATTGGCCTTGTTAAGTTGTTTGAACATTGCCCTGAAAGAAATGTGAAGGCACTCAGGCAATTTGGCAGGAGGACGATGTGATTAGATGATCTGATTTATATTTTTATTTTTTATTTATTTATTTATTTTGCATTTATCTTCAGATAGAGTGAGAGGGAGAGAGGGGCAAGAGAGAGAAACATCACGTCAAGTGGTTGCCACCCACACCGAGATACATGCCCTTAGTGGGAACCAAACCTCGGTCTCTCTGGTCTGCAGGCCAATGCTCTAACCGCTGAGCAGAACCTGCCAGGGCTAATTTATATTTTTAAAAATTACTTTTTAAGGGCATTAGATGAAGAATGGAATGTAGAGGAACAGGAAAGGACAAAGGGAGATTAAAACAGGAGATAATGGTGTCTTGTTGAATGGAAATCAACTGAATGACTGAACTTTAGAATCAAAGTATAGAATATAAGACCTGGAAGTACCCAGAAATTCCATCTAGATTTTATGTCTCAATTAACAAGAAAATCGAGTCCCAGGGGGCACTATAAATTAGTTAATGCTACATAGTTTAGTCATAACAGAGCTAGGACTACAAACCAGTTGTGCATTCTGTCTCTTTCCATCATTTTCCATGGACCACTTCATGTGACACAAGTTTTTGAATTTTTAAAAAGGCAGTGCTTGCCCAGCCAATGTTGCTCAATTGGTTAAGCATCGTCCCATGGACTGAGAGGTCACAGTTTGGTTCTTGGTCAGGACACATGCCTGGGTTTCAGGCTCGATTCCCAGTGTGCGGCATGCAGGAGGCAGCTGATGGATGTTTCTCTCTCACATCAATGTTTCGATCTCTTTTCCTTCTTTCTCTCTGAAAAATCAATAAAAATATATTTAAAAAAACAAAACAAACAAACAAAGCAATGCTTTAGCCCTGGCTGGTGTGACTCAGTTGGTTGAGCATCATCCTATTCACCAAGAGGTTGCCGGTTTGCTTTCTGGTCAGGCACATTCCCAGGTTGCAGGCTTGGTCAGTGGTAGGGGGTGTGCAGGAGGCAGCTGATTGACGTTTCTCTCTCTTCTCCATTCCTCTCTCTCTAAAATCAATAAAAAATATTTTTTATAAAAAACAAAGCTTTATTAAATAATAGATATATAGAGTTCATTGCATTATTCTCTACTTTGTGTTTGAAAATGTTGATAATAAAGATTTACACCCTGGCCAGTTTTTCTCAGTGGTTAGAGCGTCAGTCCACAAACCAAAGAGTCTGAGGTCTTATTCCTGGTCAAGGGCACGTACCTGGGTTGTAGGTTGGATCCCTGGCCCCAGTCAGGGTTATGCAGGAGGCAACCAATCAATTTGTTTCTTTCACATTGATGTTTTTCTCTCTCTCTCCCTCCCTCCCTCCCACTCTATCTAAAAAACAAACAAACAAACAAACAAACCAATAGAAAAATATCCTCAGGTGAGCATTAAAAAATAAACAGATAAATAAAATAAAAATGAAAAGATTTATAAGAAGCAATGTTTTAAAACTTTTGGGGTGTAGATACAAACTCAAGGCCTTTGAAAGTTTGACAAAGGAAAGTGGTCCAGAGCTTCCTGGGGCTCCTGTACTGACATGGGCTCTCTGGCTCTCATCCTGCTAGACACATCTAAATGGCATTTGAAGGGATTGCCACAGTCATAGATAATTCCAAATTGCTGGTCTTCGTCCATCGCACTTGCATGGGGCAAGACATGTAACCTCTCTTTGGCTCTTCTGTAAAATCAGAGTCCATGCTGTAAAGCCAAAAATAATAATAGAATTTAGTGATGAATTTGATGTCTTTTATTCAAGGGGTGGGGGGGAAATCCATGGATTGGGGGAGTAGAGTCTTTAACATGCAGGAAGGCACTCTTCCGGAGGGATTTTGAGCTAGAGTGAGTTTCAGAGAGAATTGGAAGAAGCACGTGGGAAACAGGGCATGATTGGAGAGAAGGTGAGGGATCTTCCTAGAAGGCCAGCAGGTCCTGTTTTCTAGGGTAAGGTAAACTGGCTAAAACTGAATTGGAGGTTTATGGTCGATGTATGTTAGGTTTCCTCAACAGTAAAGTATTTCCTGTAAGTGCAGGCTGACTTACGTTTAAATTTGTGAGCTGGGCCAGGCCTTTGGGGCAGCCTCTATTCTGTGGGTCTCCATACAGGAATCACCTTTATTAGTATTTATTACCCAGGGGATGTTGTGAAACCAAAGTGAATTCATGTATGTAGAAGTATTTGCCTGTCCCACTTCCTTGGACAAATGAGAGAGAGAGAGAGAGAGAGAGAGAGAGAGAGAGAGAGAGAGAGAGAGAAACATCAACTGCTTCCCACATGACATTGACCGGGATGAGGAACCTGCAACCCAGGTAAGTTACCTTGACCGGATATCAAACCCAAGACCCTTGGTCTGCTGACTTACACTCTAAACTGAACCAAACTGGCCAGGGCTGGTGTTCAGTTTTATAAGTTCTTTGTAAGTTTTGTATATTAACCCCTTATCAGCTGTATCATTGGCAAATATGTTCTCCCATTCAGTGGATTGTCTTTTTATTTTGTTGATGGTTTCCTTGCTGTCCAAAAGCATTTTAGTATGATGTAGTCCCATGTGTTTATTTTTTCTTTCGTCTCCCTTGCCTGAGGCATTATACCAGGAAAAAATATATATATTGCTACAAGAAATGTCTGAGATTTTACTGCTTGTTTTCTTCTAGGATTTCTATGGTTTCAAGCTTAACATTAAGTCTTTAATCTATATTGAGTTTATTCTTGTGTATGATGTAAAAAGGTGGTCTAGTTTCAATTTTTTACACATATTTGTCCAATTTCCCTAACACCATTTACTGGATAAACTATCTTTACCACATTGTATGTTCTTGCCTCCTTTATCAAAAATTAATTGACCATAAAGATGTGGGTTTGTTTCTGGGCTCTCTAGTCTGTTCCATTGATCTATATTTCTGTTTTTATGCCAGTACCATGATGTTTTGATTACTATGGCCTTGTAGTATAGTTTGATATCAGGGAGCATGATTTCTCCAATTTTGTTCTTTCTCAGAAAGCTGTAGCTATTTGGAGTCTTTTGTAGTTCCATATTTTTTTTTTTGGAATATTTGTTCTAGTTTTGTGAAATATAACATTGGTATTTTTTTTTTTTTATCCTCACCCAAGGACATTTTTCCCTATTTTGTTCAGATAGAGTGGGAGGGAGAGAGAGGAAGAGAGAGAGAGAGAGAGAGAAACATCAATGTGAAAGGGACACATCGAGTGGCTGCCACCCATATGACCAACTAGGGCTGGGGACAAACCGCAACCGAGGTACGCGCCCTTAGTGGGAACCGAACCCATGTCTCTCTGGGCCGCAGGCCAACGCTCTAACCACTGAGCAAAACTGGCCAGGGCATCATTGGTATCTTGATAGGAACTGTGTTGAATCTATAGGTTACTTTTGGTAGTATATGAAACATGGTATATGTTTCCACTTAGAGTATCTGCTTCAATTTTTTTCTTCCTTTTCCTTCCTTCCTTCCTTCCTTCCTTCCTTCCTTCCTTCCTTCCTTCCTTCCTTCCTTCCTTCCTTCCTTCCTTCCTTCATTTCTTTCTTCCTTTCTATCTTTCCACTATACAACCGCCTTCAATGCTCACAGCCCACATGTAAGGAGGCTGGGCAATGGTTTGAGGATGTAATACACTCTGGCATGGGGACACTAAGATGGGCCCACAGAGAAGGGTCCACAATAAAATTCAATTTCTTTTTTCAATGTCTTATGATTTTCTGAATACAGATCTTTTACATCCTTGGTTAAATGTATTCCTAGGTGTTTTTGGTTTTTTGTTGTGCAATTGTAAATAGGATTGTTTTCTTAGTTTCCCTTTCTGATAGTTAATTATTTGGTTTATAAAAATACAACTGATTTCTGGATATTTATTTTGTGTCCTGATACTTTACTGAATTTATTTATCAGTTCTGGTAGTTTTTTTTATGACTCACATATTTTTACATTATCACAGCTATGCTGATATTTTGCCTTCTGTTTTCTTCATTTAATAATATTATAGCATAAACATAAGATAAACATATTTTAGTACTTTTAATAATCATCATATGTAATGACTCAGAGTACCTTTTCTTATTGACATACCATAAATCATTAATCTAATCATTTAATGTGTATTTTAAAGTTATATTCCTTAAGAACTGAAACTAACTTACTTCCTTGTCTCTGGGCTAAACAATCCTGGGATCAGATAAAAATAACTTAGTGCCAGGCCAGTGTAGCTCAGTGGATTGATCATTGTCCCATGGACTGAGAGGTCCCGGTTCAATTCCAAGTCAGGGCACATGTGCGGGCTGTGGGCTCGATCTCCTAAAGGGGACATGCAGGAGGCATTTGATTGATGTATCTTTCACATCAATGTTTCTATTTCTCCCTTTCTCTCTCTCTCTAAAAAATTGATTTAAAAAAAACCATATAACTATTTGTTCTATAAAATTCTTGCCCCTAGAAGATACCACTATGAATCAACTAAAATAGTTCACTTATCACCCTGGCCGATTTGGCTCAGTGTTTAAAGCATCAGCCCGCAGACCAATGAGTCCCAGGTTCTATTCTGGTCAAGGACACTACCTCAGTTGTGGTTCCTCCCAGCCGTGGTCGGGGTCCTGCGGGAGGCAACTGGTCAATGTGTTCCTCTCACGTCATTTCTCTCCCTCTCTTTCCCTCCCACTCTGTCTGAAGATAAATGGAAAAATATCCTCAGTTGAGGATTAAAAACTGAATAAACAAATAAAATAGTTCATTTATTAAAATTAATAATTTGCTTATTAATACTTGTTTCAAAACTTTCACCTTGCTGTGCTCAATAATCCTAAACTACTATACTGTAAATCCTAATCATTCCCAATCAATTTCCTGACTTGCCAGACCCATTTAAATCATCCAACTTGGGCATAAAACCTTATAAATATCCTCCTCTGAGTACTAAGATTCTGTCAAGGCGGTGTTCCCTCTTTCTGCAGTAGTATTCTAATAGATTTAGATGTCTTTGATCAACACATTTTTCTGGTAGTCTTTTGGAAGGTTAATGATTGACAGCAATAATTTACATCATAGGATTATCACAAGCAGTGAACAAAATCAAATACAGTAATTACTTTGATCACAGAACAAAATGTATGACATATCATGGTTTCCTATTCTTTTGCTGCAAGGAAGCACAGAAATATATTATGCTTAATTATAAGAACTTGGCTCAGATTTTTGCTTTCTAATTTTACAGCTTTGTGTTCTTTATACTTTTTCTTTTGTTTGTTTCCTTTTTATTTTTTAATGATTATCATTATTTTTTTATATCCTCACCAAGATATGTTTTTATTGATTTTTTTGAGAGAGAGAGATCAGTTGCCTCCTGCACGTGCCCCGACTAGGGATTGAACCTCCAAACTTTTTGATGTACAGGATGACACTCCAACCAACAGAGCCACCCAGCTAGGACTTGTTTTGTTTTTGTTGTTGTTGTTAATCTTCACCCAAGGATATTTTTCCATTGATTTTTAAGTATAGTGGAAGAGAGGGAGGGAGAGAGAGAGAGACAGAGAAACAGTGATGTGAGAGAGACACATCAGTTGGTTGACTCCCATATGATCCTGACCAGAGCACAGGATTGAACCTGCAACCCAGGTATTTGCCCTTGACCGGAAATTGAACCCAAGATCCTTTGGTTCTTAGGCTGCCGCTCTAACTGCTAAGCCAAACTGGCCAGGACTGTTTCTTTTGTAAATTAAACTTTTATTTTGTTTTGTTTGTTTTGTTTTTATCCTCACCAGAGGACATTTTTGCATTTATCTTCAGATAGAGCAGGAGAGAAGGGCAGAAGAGAGAGAGAAACTTCGATGTGAGAGAGATACATCGAGTGGTTGCCACCCACACGACCCCAAGCAGGGCGGGGACAGACTGCAACTGAGGTATGTGCCCTTAGCGGAACTGAACCTGGGACTCTCTGGTCCGTGGGCCGACGCTCTAACTGCTGAGCCAAACTGGCCAGGGCTAAACTTTTATTTTGAAATAATGGCAGATTCACATGCACTGGTAAGAAAGAACAGAGAGATCCTGCAAACTCTTTACCCATTTTGTCACAATGGTAACATCTTGCAAAATTATAGTATACTTTCACAACCAGGATATTGATATTGATATTGATTCAGTCAACATACAGAACATTCCATTACCACAAAAATCCCAAATGTTGCACTTCTTTAAAGAAATCCTCACCCGAGGATATTTTTTCATTTACCTTCAGATGGAGTGGGAGGGAAAGAGAGAGAGGAAGAGAAGAGAGAGAGAGAGAGAGAGAGAGAGAGAGAGAGAGAGAGAAACATCAACGTGAGAGAGACACATTAACTGGCTGCCTCCCTGACCAGGGCTGGGGTTGAACTGCAACAGCGGGACATGCCCTTGATCAGAATCGAACCCTTGACTCATTGGTCTGCAGGCTGATGCTCTAACTCCTGAGCCAATCTGGCCAGGGCTAATGTTGCACTTTTTTTTTTTTTTTTTTTTTAATTTATTTTAGGGAGAGAGGAAGGGAGAGGGAGAGAGAAACATTGATGAGAGAGAACATTGATTGGCCACCTCCTGCGTACCCCACACTGGGGGTTTGGCCCACAACCTGTACATGTGTCCTGACTGGAATCGAACTGGCGACCTCTTGGTGCATGGGTTGATGCTCAACCACTGAGCCACACCAGCAGGGCTAATGTTGCACTTTTTTAATCTTTTTTTTTTCTTTAATTCTCACATGAGGATATGAATTTTATTGAGTTTTTGTTGTTGTTAATCCTCACCTGAGGGTATTTTTCCATTGATTTTAAAGAGAGCGGAAGGGAGGTAGGGAGAGAGGGAGAGTGAGAGAAACATTAACTTGAGAAAAACATTGATTGGTTGCCTCCCGTACACACCCTGACCAGGAATCAAACCCACATTCTCTTGGTGTATGGGATGACGCTTCAACCAACTGAGCACCCAGCCAGGGCCTTTATGTTGCATTTTTTGTTTTGTTTTGTTTTTTTATCCTCACCCGAGGACATTTTTTTTGGATATTTTGTTCAGATAGAGTGGGAGGGAGAGAGAGAGAGAGAGAAACATCGATGTGAAAGGGACACATCGAGTGGTTGCCACCCACACGACCCAACCAGGGCCGGGGACAAACTACAGCCGACATGCCCTTAGCGGGAACCAAACCCAGGTCTCTCCAGACCGCAGGGCGATGCTCTAACCATGGAGCAAAACCGACCAGGGCTCATGTTGCATTTTTATAGCCACATACTTCTCTCCTGTCCCACCCTCTCCTTGTCCTCTGACAACCACAAATCTGTTTTTCATTCCTATAATTCTATCATTTCAAGAATGTTATGCACATGGAACTACACAATATACCACATTTTCAGGATTGGCTTTTTTTTACTCAAAATAATTTTCTGGAAATTCATTCAGATTGTTGCATATATGAGCAATCTGTTCCTTTTCATTGCTGAGTAATATTCCATGACGTAGATGTAACACAGTTTGTTTAATTCATCCTTTGAAGTATATCTGGGTTGTTTCCAGCTTAGGACTATTACAAGTAAGCTACTACAAACATTCATGTACAGATTTTTGTGTGAAAGTAAGTTTTTATTTCTCTGAGTTTATATCTTTTCTAGTGAATTGTATTAGTTTTTTTTCCACGAATAGACAGTATTTAATGACTAAATAAACAAAGACCTATTTTCTGTGTATCATGATTATTATTAACATTCTATTATCCTTCATTTTCACAGCTTCCCAGGCTTTAATGCCTCTTGTGACATGGGGAAAAAAACAGATGAAACTTGGAAGAGTTACACCGTTTGTTTGTGGGTTTGGAGGAGCCTGAATTCTTATGTGTTCTCAATTCCTTGTGTTTATGTGGCTCTTATGAAACTACTGCAATTCTTTTTCTTTTTTTAATTGATTGACTGATTTAGAGAGAGAAAAGGAGAGAGAGAAAGAAACCAATTTATTGTTCCATTTATTTATGCATTCATTGGTTGATTCTATACGTGCCCTGACTGAAGATCGAACCCACAACCTTGGTGTATTAGAAAGACACGCTAACCAACTAAGTTACCTGGCCAGGGCTACAACTCTTAGGATATAGTTTAGTTTTGCTTCTTCTCTCCAGAATCCTGGTCTATATGAACCATGTTTAGTGTCAAGTTAGGTGCTTAGGAAAGGCTCAGAGATGTGGTTGGGAATTCTTTCATGTGTGTAGGCAATTAAAATAGAAGTCCTACTAGGGATGGAAGCACAGTTGAGCCCTAGACCCACTTCATCAGGATGTAACATTTGAAATTAAGATAATCACTTCATGAAACCATGGTTTTATACAAGCCTCTGCTGAAGAGAATGCTCAGTTCAGAGAAAGAGACAGAATGAATCCACCATGAGCTCAAGCCATATGTTTTTGTTGAGGCAACATCAGACAAACTATCCATCAAGGAATGAAGGATGAGAAAGCATTTGTACCTGTTCATTTTTGCGGTTCCAGAGTGACACAGGTAAATACAGCTCTCACTCTCTCTGCCCATAGTGGTGTAATACCTAGCAGTTAAATTTTATTTGCTCATTGCTCTGGTCAGTTTGGTTCAGCGGTTAGAACATTGACCAAAAAGTTGGGGGTTTGATCTCTGGCCTCAGTTGGGATTGTGTGGGAGGCAACCAACTGATGTGTC